ACCTGACATCAACAACTCCACGTTATGATTGGCTAGTTCTCAAAGCTAACTCATACTGAACACCCGGTTTAGGTGACGTCTACATCCGTGCCTATATGTTTCATTACACTCATTAAACATAACCCTTTATTCTCCTTCGAACTATTCGAAAGCGCTTGAGTTTTGATTCTCGTTTGAAAATCATGCAATAAATTTAAATTCGATGACGAGGAACCAATTTTGAGATTAATAATGGTTGGAGACGGCTTGAATGGATACCTGATGATGACAAAACCTTGTCGAAACGTTGTACACTTGCTGTTATGTTTAACTTATATTAAAGTTTTCTTCATTACCCATTCAATCCGTCTCCATGCAATAAATTTGTTATCTTCAAACTAACTTAAAAACATATATAATTAATATCTTGGGATAAGTTTTGTCAGGGGTTGGAACTAATTTTCTTGCAAATTGTGATTGTACTCAAAATGATTTTAATGTCTTGAAAAAACTCGGTTTCTTTTTACAATCAAGAATAACTACGCAATTTATGTTTGAATGTTTGCTGTTTGAATAATGCAGGAAGTCATTAACATTATTTTCTGACTGCAGGAGAATTAACGTATCATCATTATATCACTTATAAAAATTAACAGAATTATTTTCCAAATATTATTTTACAACACATTTTACGAAGGAATTATCTTTAGCCGGCACAAGCTTTGATCCTACTCTAACCCCATGCACAAACAAATGGTGTTGTTAAGTTTCAATACGAAACTTTGCCAGTATTATAGGAAAAATGATAAGTTTTGAAAAGAAATAATACTAGTATTGTCGAAACATTGTAAAGTTTCAATAAGAAACACTGCCAGAATTGTTGAAACATTGTAAAGTTTCAATAAGAAACATTGCCAGAATTGTTGAAACAATAAGAAACACTGTGAGTATCGTATAAAAAGTGTACAGTTTCAATAAGAAACATTGCCATAATTTATGAAATAGTATAAAGTTTCATTAAGAAATACTACCAGTATTGTTGAAACAGTGTAAAGTTTTAATAGAAACACTGGTGATATTTCAAAAACTGCATAAAATATCAGTTAGAAACACTGCCAGTATTGTAGTGACATTTCTTCGACAATATACAATTATATTTCATAATTTCATGCACACTTGTGTTTAATATGACTAAAGAGGTTTAATATGTTAGATTAAAACGACTTTGAATAGTCAAATTTGCAAGTGACAACCACGGCCAATATAAATTCTCGTTGGTAAGGTATGTATCAGACCTACATTTTAATATCGTTTGGCTTAACGTAGGTAGTGTGATACCACCGAAAATTGTCGCTTTTGGGAAGAGTATGCGACAACTCGTTTAAACAAAAATATCCATACGTTGAAATCTTAAAGATATTTTCAGATTGGATAATAATAATTTCCAAAGCTGAGATATCCCTTGCAGTTAATTGCATTGAAAAACAAAGGAATATGAATCAACAAGTCGTGCTCTAGCTGAGCAAAGTGCAGCGTTTTGTAACAGGTGTGGATCCACGAGTACGAAGGTCAGTGGCAAAAGCCCACCTGCCCCAAGTATCAGTTGCGCAACATAATTAAGAAAAATCTCTGTCTGGAAAAATGACAGAAGTCACGTGTACACAAGTTACTTCCACGACACATCCGTTCAACCGTCACATACCACAAATAGCTGGAAAATGAAGTTTATATTCATGATACTCCATAAAAAGACATACTGGTCAAGTCGGCTATGGATATTTGTGTAATCGAACTGTTGAAATGGTCGCTAGAAAACCGTCATCTTCTTAAACCACATGGACTATAGAAAGTATGCATGGAGAAGAGGTGTGCTTTGAGCAATACAACCTTATGAAGGGAGCCTTTTACAATGGAAACTGCGCTGCAGATCTGTTGTGAAGAAACGCGGTCGTTAGACTGGTCATGACAATATGGACTGTGATGACGTTGTGAGGCTCCAAAAATCGTTTTAATATAATCTATACAACTTCTGTATTATAGTTATTTATATTTAAATACATTATAAGGCTTATTTCCACACTTACTATTACAAAGAGAACCCAGAAAAAAAAAACTGTGGTTAAGAGTGCGTAACTGACAACCTTGTGATGATTGGTGGAGTTTAGGATGAGTATAAACTAAGTTTTCGAGAGATTTTGTCATTCGCAAAGCAGAAACCGAGTATATAAATACAGCGTTATTAGTTTCAATTTTAGTTCTTTGAAGTGAAACGCTACGTAAGCCTAGAAGCTGATTTTTAATAAGATTATTCAACAAGTATTCGACGCAGTCGATGACACAAACAACCACAAGAACCACGAGGTACACAAAAATTAAGTTATTGCTAGATTATCATGATTTGTCTATACTTTACTTGTATTCAAGTTTTTAATTAATAACTGAATCATAAAGTTTCTTTTTAAGATTTAATGGTATGCACATAAATGTATATTTATCTATTTCACTAAAAATATTACGATGGTACTTAAAATATTACGATGGTACTAAAAATATTACGATGGTACTTACTTAAATGTTTAAGTTTTACTCATTTTTTTCAAGTTCTTTAAGACTGCAATCCGACTGTTCTGTTGTTATTGTTGCTTTTATTCTTTACTTCGTATTTTCAAAAATCGGTTAAACATCCAGATTAGACACATTCCCCTATATCCAGTCATACCGGTCTCTAACTTAGAAGTGTTGTGTTACATATTACAATTTCGAAAGGTCTGAAACCGAGCTAAATGATATTTTAAATTTAGTAGTTAAATT